TTTGGATTCAGTCCCGGACAGCAGGGGCTCAGGCTTAGGCTTCGATAAATCCGAGATTTATAATAATGTATTTACTTATTTTAGTCTGTGAATTTAGGGCATGTAGAGGGAGGAGAGAGAAACTTGGAGATCCTGCTGCATACAAGAGACTGCAACATTATTCCCAGAACTGCTCCTGGTGCAATAAATCTCTATCACGATGATTAACAGTTATTCTGTTTTACCAGAGCAATGGGGGAGGACTCCTCTCTTCATATAATTTTATTTTGGCCGCAGCAAAAATGGAAAAGAGAATCTGACTCTTCCCTCTTGAGCTAGCTCCACTGCATTTGATTGGTAGCGCTATGCGGCAGGAAAGCTTAGTGTAATATTGCAGCTTTGCAGCTAGAGAGTAGCCTTTGTCGTCATAACAAGCACTTGTGCTGAGGAAGCAAACAGTTTCCTTTTATATCTTTTAAACTACACCTCTACACCGATATAACACTGTCCTTGGGACAGTGTTTTCACCGCGTTATAGATGAAACCACGTTATATCGAACTCGGTTTGATTCGCCGGAGTGCACAGCCCCGCCCCCCCGGAGCACTGCTTTACCACGTTATATCCGAATTCGTGTTATATCGGGTCGCGTTATATCGTGGTAGAGGTGTGTATATATAACTAGATGGGAACAACAAGAATATAGGTTTCACATACTCGCATACGTACCGATGAAGTCACATATATCCCATATGTGTATCAAGTGTGTGCATGTATACAGACTGCACAAGCAATATGTGTAATTTTTCTTATGCATAGAAAAGGAAACATCTAAAGGGTGTGCATATAAAGAAAGTGTTATACACATTCCAGGAATATCATTTCTTATTTTGACGTATGCTGTCTATGACTTGTTTGTATAAGAGGAAATGAATTTCAAATCACACTTTAGCACTATAAATCACTGGAATGTCAGCACCCCACAATATAGGAATTAATGCATTTCTTTAAAAGAGAACAATATCAATAGTGTGTAACATTCTTCAGAAATATTCCCCCTCCCACGAATGAGGCACATTACATAAAATCATAATGGCTGAAACACAAAGTAATAAAACACTTTATGCTAACTTGTTATAAATAATATAAATCAGTTGCCAGGGTGAAATACTATTTTAGTCTTCACTAATTAGGGTGACCTAGTCGCTGACTCATTGCTGCCACACGTGAATGATGAGATTAGTCTAAACACATAAAAGTAATATGTTTATTTCATCCCAGGGTTGTTCATTATGGTGGTTCCATAGTTATGATTGAGCTAGGATTTTTGCTTTTGACAGGACCATAAAATCTCTCTGGTGCTGAAGCTGTGAATAGCTGTATATAAATCTTGGTTAGGCATTAACTCTTTATCGTAACACAAGCAATGAAGAATAATTGTGCGTTTGTGCGCGCACGTGCATGTATATAATTATTATAGAGGCACCAATCACAAATCCGTGGTTATGGTTGAGTTTTATTTTGGCTCTTTGGATTGTATGAAAAATACAGTATATCTTTCTCAACTCTCAGCATTTATTCTTTGAGTGCAGAATGGCTTTTTTGAAAATGTACACGTAAATTTATTAATTTGTTTGGGTTAAATTCATTATAAACTAGGACTTAAGAAATGTATTGTCAGTCTATTCTTTATCCTGAATGATCTTAACAGTGGAATAACAAGCTCATCAAACTTTCCACATAGTCAAAATTAATTTAAATCTTGTGCATAGGCTGCATTTGAAGAATATATATATTCTAATTATTTTCAGTTATTAGTAATTGTATCTAAATGTTATGATTATATTGTTTATGGAGAGGCTCAGGTAACTCTTAGTGGGACCATTGTGACTTCATAGATAGCTCAACCAGCTGCCACCCTTTTCCTACAAAAACAATGAGGAGTCCTTGTGGCACCTTAGAGACTAACACATTTATTTGGGCATAAGCTTTCCTGGGCTAAAACCCACTTCTTCGGATGCATGAAGTGAAAAATACAGGAGCAGGTATAAATACATGAAAGGATGGGGGTTGCTTTACCAAGTGTGAGGTCGGTCTAACGAGATAAATCAATTAACAGCAGGATACCAAGGGAGGAAAAATAACTTTTGAAATGGTAAGAGAGTGGCCCATTACAGACTAAACTTAATTTCCCCAATACTAATTTCTCCCTACTGTTACTCACACCTTCTTGTCAACTGTCTGTAATGGGGCACTCTCTTACCACTTCAAAAGTTATTTTTCCTCCCTTGGTATCCTGCTGTTAATTGATTTATCTCGTTAGACTGACCTCACGCTTGGTAAAGCAACCCCCATCGTTTCATGTATTTATACTTGCTCTTGTATTTTTCTTGTCAATTTCATGGCTCCAGCAGTTCCCTGCTGTGAACCTTGCACCTTGGCTGTGAACCTTGGCTCACAGCTCAGGCTGTCACCCTGGTGTTGGTGGGGGGCTCCAGCTAGAGCCCAGCTGCCCCCCTGGGCTCCCAGCCACCCACTCCTAGTGGGCTGCTGCCTGGGCTTCCCTCTGCCCACTGGGAGCCCTGCGTCCTCCCAGCTCCCAACTCCCAGCTGGGCTGCTGCCTGGGCTCCCTGCTCCAAGCCTGGCTGCCAGGCGCTGAGAGCCAGGGCTCCCAGCTCCCAGTGGAGATCCCAGAGCTGTCAGAGAATGGCTGAGTCAATTTCACTGCTGGTTGTCTCTATGCTGTGGGTCTCTGCTTGGGGCTGTCACCCCACGGCAGATCGGGGGCTCCAGCTGTGAGCTCTGCATCGCCGTCAGTGCCCCACAATGCCCCACTTCAGTTGGTGCAAGCGCTCCTGGTGGGGACGTGCTCCACTGATAGAAGAAGGGTAGTGTGGACACCAATTGCCGATTGAATTACTGCGGTGGTTGTAGGTTGACCTCAATTAAGTTGACCTAATTTTGTAGTGTAGACAAAGCCTAAAATATCAGTGCTTGAAAACCTCCTCAAGGCACTGCTGTCTCAGCTCCACTGCACAACAAGGCAGCACTGTTGGGAGAAGTGGGGCAGAAACAGAGGGTCCTTAAAGTGCAAAGACATTCGGATTAAGAGTATTGGTTCTTTTATTGTTTTTAATGTTTTCTCTGTAATATTTTTACTTTAAAAATAAATGTGCTAGCTTAGGGCTTGTCTACACTACCGCGGTAGTTCGACGGCTGGCAATCGAACTTCCGGGTTCGATTTATCGCGTCTGGTGTGGACGCGATAATTCGAACCAGGAAGTGCTCGCCGTCGACTGCGGTACTCCACATCAGCGAGAGGAGTACCGCGGAGTCGACGGGGGAGCCTGCCTGCCGTGTGTGGACCGCGTCTGAACCGCGGTAAATTCGAACTAAGGTATGTCGACTTCAGCTACGTTATTCACGTAGCTGAAGTTGCGTACCTTAGATCGAATTGGGGTGTTAGTGTAGACCAGGCCTTAGAAGAGGTTGTGTGGTGACTTAAAACTTCGGACAATATGCTGGTCATAGCCTTCAGAGAGAAAGGAAAGTGCAGGCACTGGCCTGTCTGGCTTGCTGGGAGTATCATAGTGTAAATCCAGGGAGCTATGCAGTCTTAAAGCTTCCAGTCAGGAGTGAGTGAGATGGGTCTCTGCCTGAGAAAGGTGACAGGTGGGAGCTGGAAACCTTTAAGTGGGTGCTCTCGAGAAACCATGGAAGGTGAATACAGGTGCAGTTACCCTGAAATTGTGACAAGCTAAGTTCCCTCTAAGCTGCATGGCCATGCAGTTGCCTCTTAAGCCCCACGCAGGGGCTCAGGGCTATGGCAGGGAGAGGCTCCCCTCCCCGTCGGCCCCAGAGCGGACCTGCCTCGACCGGGGGAGAGGAGCGCTTTCTTGGCCCGGCCCTAGAGCGGACCTGCCTCGGCCCAGCCCAGCCTTGCCAGAGCTGCCGCGGACGGGGAGAGGCGCCTCTCCCCCAGCCCCAAGCTGCTGCAGCGAGAGAGGGCTGGGGGAAGTCATCTCTCCCCACCGCAGCCCCTGATGCAAGCATGTAAGCTGGGGATGAGGGGCTTGGGGTGCGGGAGGGGGCTCAGGGCAGCCTGCACCCCAAACTCCTCATCCCTGGCCCCACCCTAGAGCCCACCTCCCCACACCCCAAACCTCTGCCCCAGCCCTGAGCCCTCTCCCACACTCCGAACCCCTCGGCCCTGGCCCCACCCTCACCACATGAAATTTTGTTATGTGCACCAATATGAAGGTGACATGTCACACATCACCTCCATGTTGGTGCACATAACAAAATTAATTCCGCACATGGACGTAAAAAATTAGAGGGAACACTGGACAAGTATCTATGATAATCTTTTATTAAACAAAATTTTGGATAGTCTGTTGTGACCCTGTTTTTCCAGCCAATGTATGAATATGCTGCAGATATTGTTAGTCCCGCTTAGAACAATATTGAGAATTGACTTGATAATTCAGGTTAGAGAATTGAGGACATTCTGTTTTTGGCAGCTAGATCTAATTTAAAGTTAAAGCTGAAATTTAAAGCTCCAGATATGGGACTAGCTATTGAATGAATGTGTTGAGAATTGTTGATCTAGTAACCTCTAGCATGGATACATCCACAGATGCAAAGCCTTGGATCTTAAAGGGAATTATTTTGAAGGAATCCTGCATACTGTATAATATGAGCTTTGCCATGATTTTGTATTTACATGCTTGCATCACAATGGCCTTAATTATAATTATTCATACCATTTTAGAATAAGTGAGTGCTATGAGGTGATTGCAATTAGAACACTGTGTATATACTATAGTAGGTATTTGTTATGCCTTCACTATACCGATCCAAATAATGGCATACAAAAATATGCAGACATTTCTATGGGAATCCTAAATAAGTTATTTTGTACTGTACAATTTACTATAATAAAAAATACAAACCTAGATGACTGATTTGACTTGTTTTAAACATATAGGAAAACTAAAGGTTCTTCTTTTTTCATGTCTACAGGCTGTGCATCTGGCCCAGGCAAGTTTCCAGATTGAGGCCTTCGGCTCCAAATTCATCCTTGACCTCACATTGAATAAGTAAGTGTACGATTGTGGGTTTCTTTGTTTCCTGCTCTTTGTGGCTGTCTCTTTGGAAATAGAGCGATTTCTGAAGAAGAAGGCAGTGGGGTAGGGCAAGTGGAATCCTGTGAGCTTTGGAAAACTACCACACCACCCAAATGCATTGATATACTAAAACATTCATGAAAGTTGGAAAGCTTGCCTAAGCTAGGTATTATAAATATAGCTTTCTTTAAGAAAGGATATGTTCCTATTCATCAGTGCTGGAATATATTTGCATGTAAAGAGGAAAAATATAAATATAAATTTAGTTTGTGTCTCAGGAACATAGGTGCCAACTTCCTCTATTCCCAGGGGGTGCTCGACCCCCGCTCTGCCCCAGAATCCGCCCCCACTCCACCCCTTCCACAAAGTCCAAACCCCGCCTCTTGCTGCCACCGCTCTGCCCCAGGCCCTGCCCCCACTCCACCCCTTGTCCCCGAGCCCTGACCTTTGCCCTGCCCCTTCCTGCCCTCGCTGTGCCCCAGGCCCTGCCCCCACTCCACCCCTTCCTCCAAGCCCCCACCGTCGCCCTGCCTCTTCTCACCCTGCTCTGCCCCTGCCCCGCCTCTTCCTGCTCCCTTCCCCCACCTCTTCCTGCTCCTGGCTCCTCGCCCTCCCGCCCCAGCATCTCCTGCATGCTGCTGAACAGCGGATCTGCGGCAGGTGTGGGACTGGGAGGGAGGAGGAGGAGCTGATCGGTGGGTCCGCTGGTGGGTGGGAGGTGTGGGGAAGGGGAGGTGCTGATCCACGGGGCTGCTGGTGGATGCTGAGCACCCACTGTTTTTTTTTCGGCACCTATGCTCAGGAACCAAAACATAATTACTGAGGATCCCCAAACCTCTTAGATATGAATTATGAAAAGTGTCTCAGTACATATACATTATGGTTGTTATCCTTTTCGTTCCTAAGTGCTTTATATACAGTACAAGATTCAGTCCACCACTCAAAAGCAGTCATCTATTGGGCAGAAGGTGGCAATCAGGAAGAAAACTGGCAAGCCATGTGCTGCATAACAGTAGTGGAAGAAATTTCCTGTATCTTTGGTTGCCACTTTGATCTTCCTGTCCTAGATGCATGTTGTCAGGCTACATTTTCTTTAGGAATTACCATTAAAATGGTAAAATGTGATTATTACACAGATGCCTGATTCAAATCACTGTACTTTACTCTGTTCATCTACAACACTAGCTAAAGCTTAGGTTTGGCTTAGATTGTGAACAGGGACATTTCCTTCTGGTCTGTCTGGAATTTTGGATAGACCAGATATAAATAGCAGTAATTGATAAACAGTTGCAGTTTTCAATTAAGGAATGTATATTCTGAGCCTTAACCAGGTTAATAGTGTTCCATATATCTTCATAAAGGGCCAATTTGAGACAAATGTACTTAAAGTAAGGGATGATACAGGACTTAAAATATAAGTAGCACTAACTAATATTAAATTATGTGGTTTACGAGGATATTTGTAAGTTACTGAATTCAGTTGTTTAAAGACTATTCTTCATTAAGATTAAGATGCCTTTCATCTTGGTACATAAGTGGCCGAAAAATTATGGCATATATAAAAAGAACCAGATTTATTTCCTGCACCAATACACTGTGTGCAGGAGAGAAATGAGCAGGAGGAAGTTGTAATTGGCTCTGTGATTCTCAAGCTGCTTTGTCCCTCTCTGTGCAATAAAGCTGCTCTAAGGTCCCTAAGGGTATGTCTACACTGCAGCTGGGAGTGTGCCTACCAGCCTAGTTAGACAGACGCATCCTAGCTCTGCTGGAGCTTGTGCGATTAACAAATAACAGTGTGGATGTTGAGGCCTGGGCTAGCTGCCTGAGTACAAGCCTGCTGACCCCCAGGGTCCCCAGTTGGTGGCTAGACCATGCTGTCACCTATGCTGCAATGTTCTAGACTATATTTTTAGTGTTCTAGAAGGATCAGAATTAGTATGTGTCTGTTTACACTGGCTGGGAGGCATGCTTCCATCTACAGTGTAGAAGTACCGTAAGGGATCAGACACCAGCTGAGTATTGCTATGGGGGAGAAAGTGAAGCAGAGCTCCCCTGTACATTCTCTACTCAGTCATGTTCCTTTCCTTAATATTTATACTGAGGTTGGGGGGCAAGTTGGCTTTACTCCAACTGTGAAGGAACTCCCTTTTCTGAAGGAATTCTCAGTTGGCCAGCTGTGGCTGGATTTTATCTGTTTTGCAAGGCTCAGGTGTTCCAAAGGGGATGGAATTGGAATGAAATTCTAGCCCAAATGCTGCTATTTCTCTGCATTCCCCTATAACTCAGGGCAATTCTCACAATAATGTTTATACTTTCTCAAGGTGTTTTGATGTATACATTAGCTAATATTTACTATCATTGTATCATAAATATTGTACTATCAATATTGTATCATTGATAACAAAAATGTCAAATTGTTTTCATATGAACATTTGAAAAATATGTAGACTTTCCAAAGGGCCTAAATATTTTTAGTACACATTAATAATTATATTTAGTTACTATTCAATTAATGTATAATAAATATAGTAAATTATCTGTCTAATTAAAGTTTAATGAAGTATCAATTATTGACAGTTTCTTTAAAGTGCTACCAATTTTAATAACATTTTAATTTGTCTCACTATAGAGAACATGCAATCAAATGGTATGAATGACTACTACTGTTTCTGTCTCTTGACTGTACTTTGCTATTTCATTGGGCCCCAAATTTGTACCAGAAAAGTATTGTATTGTGGCAAAAGATTGTAGAGATATTTTTTGAACTTAGATTCTGAACAGGAATTTTAAATCTGCTTACGGCACTTTAAATATGATTTAAAAATTCCACACAGGTGCCACGTATACTAGGACAATGACCTGTTGCTAGCAGTAGTTGTCTTCAACTTGCCTTCCACATGCTGAATGCGTTGGCTGCTGTTTTAGTTAACGGAAGATTGTTTTAAATACTGTTACAGAAAGAGAGATAGACAGTGTTCTACCTCATCTCTATTTAAGGGAGGATATGTGGTTTAATGTATAGGGCGCTAGAGTAATTGTAGAAAGATCAGGTTGTATCCTAGCTTTGCCATTGACTGATTGTACATTTACATTAAACTGAGACGCTTATATTTCTTCATCCAGAAGTAGGTCCCAAGTTGTTCTTGTATCCAGAAGGGAAAGCATTTTAGCTCCAACTTCCATATGGCCAGGTCTCTCTGTGCCTTAGTTTTCCTATCTGTAAAATGGGGATAATAATGCTCACCACCATTGTGAAGGTGTTTTTTTTTTTTTAAATATCTAGGTGAAATATACTGTATAAATGTGTATTATTTTTATTTATTTATTTAGACTTTTTGTGATAGTGTTGTAAACAGTCTTGTCTCATCTGTATTAGCAGCCAAGCCTTTTAACCCCTGTTGAATTGGGGGCCATGGCAGTAGCAGGTCACTTTCCTAGCGTACCAGGGATCATATTGTTTGAGTTATATGTGAAAATGACACTATAGGAACCCGTTTACAATTGGTGTTTTATTTCATTGGTAGGTAAGACTAGAGGTGTAAAGCAGCTTTCATTAGAGACACAGTTTTTGTCTCATTCTGTTCACTACTTGCTCTAGTGAACCTCTAACATACCTCTAACATACCTCCCTGAATGTGTCACTATGTTGACATAAACTTGCCACTGTATATACTTCTAAAAACAGTGAGACTCCTATAGTGCCAGTGTTTGCCACTGTGTGGACTGATACAGAAGGTGATATCTGAGGAAAAAGAATAGTGGTATAAAAAAAAACTATTAAATCTGTGATGTGCAAAATTCTGTAAGCACTGCATAAAAAATGCATACGCAGCTTGTCCTGTCCTTGAGCATTTCAGCACATTTTAAAACAAAAATGAATCAGCAGAAATTAGTATTTTTCAATATTAAAAAAGTATTGCTCGCTTCCTGATGTCCAGTTGAGGTCTTACTTTGGTCACTTTGTCAGCAATATTGACAGTTTCTTGAGGGGTAAAGATGCAAGTGTATCAAATATTGGGTTTACAGAGCAACAAGCTGTGGCTTTTTAAAATTTGCTAGGTCACTATATTCCCATATCTATTTCGTATTGCTACTCAGCTCTTCTGCATGAGCTGTTTTGTTTTGAAAGGTGAACTGGAAGGCTTTTTATCTGCCCACAGCTGAATTTAGAGTTAAGTGTTTTCCCCGCAACTAAAGCATTACATGGAATTACATTTGTTAACATACTTTTCAATGTTTACACCTTCACCTTTAAAATGTGAAACAATGGCTGAAAAGCATATGAGGACATCAGGAGGTGGGGCCAGAGGCTGTGAGGGGCAGGCAGGATGAAGGACCAGAAGAGAGGATAGAAAGCCTGGAGACATCTAGAGCCTTATGGGAGTTGATTAAGTACTGCAGTGTTTCAGCTACAGGAAGAGATCCCAGTGCATTATGGAATATGGAGTCTGGGCAGGGGACTAAGAGCTTATACAGGAGGATAGTTGGAGGAAGGACAGTGAACTACCACTCACATGAGGCACCGCAGTGGCTCAGGTGACTAGACAGATTCATGTTGACCTAAAATAAAATGTTTCGATTTAGGGCTGTCAAAACAAAAAGTTTTGGTAGTTTGACTTTTTGTCCTGAATTGGGACAAAAGCTAATGTCAAAATATCAGTATTCCCTGCAGGCCAGAAATTCCAGTTTTAGATTAGCTCCATGTACCAATTTGCCTTTGTATCCAGAATACAAGTAAATGCTCTGGGACTAGATCATCAGCTGGTGTAAATCAACAATATCAGTAGCAAGCTCCCTCTCTTTTGACTGTGCACTAGAAACTAATAATATATTGGCTTCCTAACTGCACTGGAGCAATATTGATTTATATCAGCTAAGGCTTTGTACCCTAATTTGGTATAATAAAAAGTAACTAGCAACCGAGATAAAATAAAGTAGGTAACCACAAAATTTAGACTAACTAGCAACCAAAA